ACACCAAAGGTATATGCTCCATCTTCACCATATTCATCAATTAGCTCTTGCCGCAAATCATTGAATTCTGGATAACCACCTTGTCGTCCGAGTATACGCTTCATGGAGAGATAGAGTACAGCAGCTGATGCATTTGCATAGCTAGTGCCTCCTTCTTGTTTTTTGGCGCCAAAATCATTTCTGCTTTGGTTGATGTAAATATCTAGTGAAACTGAAGTCAAAGCATCTGCCAGAGCATCTTGACAGCATACTACATTACGTGCCAAATCGCAGACATCTTTCAAGAAAACAGGATGATTTACTTGAAGAAACAATTTGGTTTCATTGTTGGTGATATCGATCTTCCATCCACGCTTGACGAAAATAGTGCGAGGCACTAAGTCTGCTGGAATCTTAGAGCTCAATTCGAACAAAAGCTTGGCACCGTCCTCCCAATGGTAATCTTTGCTAAACAATCTTTTTGGCTCGACATCATCATGTAATCTAGTGATGAAACAGGACACTATAGTAATATCTGTTTCCCTAAACTTCGCGATCAAAAGATCTTTTTTAGTGAAAAAGGGGTCATCTGTAGGGTATCCGTCTGATATCACAAGTAGAAGCTTCTTATGATATTTGAATTTTGGAGAAAAGGTGAAAAGTTGCAAAGCCATTTCCAGTGATTCATAAAAAGGTGTCGATCCGCCATATATGAAAGGTCTGACGTCATCCATCAATTCCTGGACTCGCTGGTTTGTGAGTTTATCTTTATCGACGCTTCCACGGAGAATGCCCCATGCTTCTTTAACAGTAAATATAGATGATTGAACATCTACTTCCCTGATCAAGAAATCCTCCTCTAGAAGAGACTTTGCCTTTTCTATAGCATCTTTTATTTCTTTCTCACCGGCAGGGCGAAAGGTGCTCACAGCTGATTCTCCCGAGCGTAATAGTAGATGGGCAAAAGGAATATACCCTACGAACTCTGGAGAATTATTTTCGATTCCTTTGCACGCATTTGGAAGGCAACTGTTAACAACACCCTTTGCAAAACCTGGCCTGGATTTCACGTAATACAACAACTTCTTCGCATCGTCATGCGATACCTTTTCACCAATAGCACTCGCCGAGGCCCATTTTCTTACTGCACATGCCCCTGCACTTTCTAAAATTGTCAAAATACTGTCAATAGTGCTTGCATGATTAAGGCGGGTTTGATTAGTTTTGATATTTTTAAAATCTTCAATTGTGCGTAGAACGTCAAAAATTGTGCGTGGGTTGTTCGCTCCCATCCCGATTGCAAACATGTGGTTGGAGTCTGAAACATCATGTGTGATTAAGCTGTCAATAACTCGAAAGAGAGATTGGATCCATTCTCCTCCTTCTTCGTGAACTCCATCTCCGATATTGCGTTTCATCGAACCAGACACATCAACAATCACGCCAATCAAAGTGGAACAGTTTTCAGCCATGCTGCATAAAACTAAAAAAAATTGTTATTAATTGATGGATTTTTTTTTTACTCATTAAGAAAAACCAAGTAAAAGCCATTTTCCTCCTAAATATAGAACTAAATATTTTTGGTGTTCAATAAGACTATCCGCGACGAAAAAAAGTATTTGTTTGGAAAACACAGGCTAATTATTTAGCAAAAACTTACGGAGCCCTTAAAGGGCAATAGCTTTTATTTTTTCGGTTTCTACTTATGTCGACATATATGTCGACATAAAGGGCCATATAACTTTTATTTTTTGGTTGCTACTTATGTCGATATATATGTCGACATATATGTCGACTTCTCTCTTTTGCTAACAATAAATATGTCGACATATATGTCGCCATAGGGTTAGGGTTAGGGTTAGGGTTAGGGTTAGGGTTAGGGTTAGGGTTAGCAATTGAAACTACAATAGCTACTCTCTTGATCTCTTGACTCGCTCGTATCTTTTGAGCCCGCGATAGATTTGGTCTGCGGTTAGTTTTCCGGAAATGACKTAAGATGAACAGTCGAGATATATGTCGACATATATGTCGACATATAAGTCACCTTATTTAAAAAGTCGACATATAAGTCACCTTATTTTAAAAAGTTGAGATATATATATGTCGACATAATAGTGGAGAAAAATAAAGCAACATGGCCCTTTAGGGGCTAACAAATTTATCGCTCTTTTCGAATATTGCGGTAGAATTACAGTACTGGCATGAATAAAGGAGTACGGACACGTTTTATTACCAAAGGTGGTGACAAGAGCTCAAAACGTCTTGTGTAGGTGCTCAAGATTCAGAAAATCCAATTTTGATCGACCACCTTCAGTATTTCAAAAAAAAATACGATTCTTAGAGCTGATTCTGAATAAATAAGCTTACTTTAGCGACGTCCGTCAAATTTGAGACGGCTCACTCGCTCTCATATTCTAACAAACAAAACATTTTTAAGTGCTTTTTCGAGTCATTTGCTGCAACAGATTCCCCAAGGACTGCATTATAAAACTTCTAACCGATCGCGACTGTGCAATAATTACCAAGAAAACTAGAGGGGGGCATTACATAAAATTGATGACGAGATAGGGGGCTCATGATATGATTTTTTTATTTTTTCAACTGTTGATCTTTTTTCAATTTTATCACACAAATTGAAGATGATGTAGAAGCTGAAAAATATTTTAATGATTTATTCGACATAACAAGTACAAGTAATATCAAAAATTATATCAAATATTTCTTTGTTGGTTGGGGCATATCATTGATCTTGTTTCCTCAACCAATAAGTTATTTTATTACCAAGCTTTGGGTGCTTATGCCCATCATCAGGGTTAAATGTAGTCAACACTAATTGTAACGTTTTAGTGTTGACCCCATTAACCCTGATGATGGGCCTAAGGCCCGAAAGCTTGATGATAAAATAACTTATTGATTGATGAAACAAGATCAATGATATAAATATCAAAAATGTTTTTGACAATAAAAATGTTGCATAAGCCTATTTTGGACTTTAAAAATCGCCTTTGCCAGGAACAAAATTATTTAAAAGAAGCAAGGGTGCCACATTTGCTTGTGAGATTTTCAACAATGTAGCCGGTAAAATCCATTGCTAAGGAACAAATTCATACATTAACAGCTATTTAGCAGAACAGACCCCGTCAGCTCCTCCTGAAAGTTTTTGTCTTTACACTTAGGCGCAGATGAGTAAGCCACCCTTTGCATCATGGTCATTGCTAGAAAATCCGGACATATGAGCCCACAATCGCAGCGGTACTTCGCATAAAGCACAAAAATGCTTGTTAAATTTTACAAAGAAATGTACAGATCAAAAATATTATTTGAGAATAACATTTCATCTGTTTTACCTGGAAGTTTTCCAAGATGAATTCCTAGAGGGTATCTATTCTTTTTTCCACTGTAGGAAATCCAAATAAATTGTTAATATTGTTAAGAGCGTCCTTTTTGACAAATTCATTTTCCTTTCGTATAGTCCATTTTGCCCGGGATCTAATGGTGAAAATCCGCGAAGAAGCGAAATTTCACCGTAGCTGATCGTGTTCCTTTACATGTCACTGATATTTCAAAGATCATTTCACAGCGATTTTCAGCTATTTTGAAGACGATAAACAGCGTTTTCTTTGGTACTAGAAATCGTACAATTTGAAAACACTAACTTGACGGTGAAATGGCTGGC